GCAATAGATTGATAATGGCTATGGCATAGATGATGCATTCCACAGCCAAGGCGCACCGCGTCTCTGTCCCGACAGGCGTCACACGAGAGTCGGTCAATAATCCAGAATGAAGTATGAATATATCGTGTATATATACATACATTGTCACATAGATATAGATATCTGTGTTTGTGTGCATGTGTCACGCCATATTCACTATACACACCTCCACAAAGATAAGCATTGACTTTGCCGAAGAGACTGTTTCGTCGTACTTTCACCAACTGACACACAGTGTCTGTGTGTGTGTGTGTGTGTGTGTTTGTTACGATCTCTTTCCTCCGTCCCTCCTTTAGCTATCGCCGACGACTGACTATACCTCTCCCCCTCCCTCTCCCCTCCTCATATCCCTCTTCTCTCCCCCCCCCCCCTCCCTCCACTTTCCATCCTCCCTTTAGCCGCCCTGCTAATTTCCCCTTCCCCCCGTCCAACCTCACCATCTCATCACTCGACAAGTTCCTGTGCTGGTATCCCAACTCCTTGATTACCTGATTATTCGCGAATCTGAACGCTCTATCGTGCTGCCGCTGGCACTCCTCGAAATCCGAAGCTAACTTTTTATAACACAGTGCGCAGCCGCAGAAGTGCAAAATGAACGGCGGATCACGACCGTCGCCTACCCAAGCCTCTTCCCGCTCGTAGTACTTCTCCAACTCGTTAGCGCTGCTCATCCAATACCGATTGATATGAAATCGGTTTTCGAGGAACACGCGGGGTTGCCACGTGGCCTTCTGAGTCGAGAGGAGGTAGATTGCAGTCGATTGATCGGATAAATACGGCGGCATGCTGCTCACCGTCTTCCGCACGTCCTCGTACAGCATGGTGTAATTGGGATGGCTGTCCCAGTAATCGACGATGGCGTCGAGGAACTGCAGCGCGTACCGGTCGTTGCGCAGCAACAGCACGCCGAAGTTCAGCTGGTCGTAGTTGGGCGACCGATCGAGGATCTCCGGGTCGCCCCAGACAACCATGCTGTAACCGTGGTTCTCGTAGTCCAGCCAAGGGACCTGGAAATTCAAATCAGTAATCATTGTGTCGGAATCAAGCCAGAAGAACCAATCATAGGTCTTCTGAGTGCGCATGAGGTGCCGAAGCAGCATGACCTTGTTGCGCGACCGACCGTGGATGGGGGAAACGAGGAGCTCCAGCGAGAACCAAGTGGCGATGTCGTGCTTGCGGGCGTAGTCGGCCTTGTTCTTGAGGAACTTAACGATATCGCTGTCGCCGTCGTCAGTGCCGCAGCGCGCTTGGCTGGCAGAGACCATCAAGATCTTGGGAGAGGAGGAGGAGGAGGAGGAGGAGAGGGGGGAAGCGGAACGGGATCGGGAACGGGAAAACTTGACGTAATGGACAGGTAAACGAGCGAGAGACTGGTCGGCGTAGGAGAAGGAGGAGTAAGAGCGGAAGCCATCGGAGGCGCCGTAGTCAGCAATACTACGGGAAACAGCACGCGTCACACCGTGAATGATCACCGAACATATGAGGCACACGACTAGGAGCTGGATGAGAAACGTCAAAGTCCATGAACACCCCGCGGTGCTGTGCTTGCCCCCTCTCTCTCGCCCGTGGCTCCATCCTCCGCCCACAGTCCCCATCTTCACTCTTTCTCACCAACTCTCTCTCTCTCTCTCTCTCTCTCTCTCTCTCTCTCTCTCTCTCTCTCTCTCTCTCTCTCTCTCA